GATACAGGACTAAATGCCCTTGGCAAGGTAGGATTTGACTGGGATGCCAGCAAATCAAAAAACATACAGCTGCCCTGAAAACAGTAGTTTTCCTATAATGCTTCTCTCCAGAATGAACAAGGGAATGAAAAAGAAAATAAAATGCATGGGGGAAGGAAAAAACCTTCTGTAATTTTTGGTTGGTTTGACTGACCAAACAGAGGTTTACACAAGGGCCCTCTGGCTTCTCTTCTCACCAAAAACGTTGAGTGCCAGTGACCCTGAAGTTCAATGGGTCATTTGTCTCCCGAGTTTGTTCTCTGAAGTCAAATTAACCAGAGCTGAAAGCAGTCTTTGAAAATCTCCCATTTGCAGTAGGTGCAAATTATCTCAGGAGTAAAGTTTTTTGTTGCTGTGAAATGCCAGCTGCTGTGAAGAGATGTGGTGGCATCCTGATGGAGATGGGAGAAGAAGAAAAGGTGGTGGAAGAAAAAACAAAGCAGCTGGGAGGATAAAATTCACCACACGGGTCCTCTCCACCCTGACATTTCCAAGCTGTGTGAGCTGGAGCACTGGCTTCACTTAGCTCAGTGGCAAAATTTATTTAGACTCGTAGGAAGCCCGGGCTTTATTACAGCTGTTTGTTATTAAAGTTCTAACTGAACATCCTGCTCTCCTTGACACATTTTTCAGACCTTACATCTGCCAGGAAAGAAACTTGTGGTGTATGCCTATAAGCTTATGTTTAAGAAGCCCTGCTCTGGCTTAAGTCTTGTACTGATCCCTTTGGGTTCCACCCATTTGGCTGCAGCTCAGTTGCTCCAAGGCAAGAATACTGCAAATGTTTGTGGCCAGTAATTAAAGCTTTTTTTCATAACTTCTCCATCCTGGAGAAACAGAGCTGCTGCCAGTGATTCAGAGCACGTAGGAGGGCACCTTTGAGCTCCCACCAGGCTGGCAGCAGTGCAGGCAGTGACTGCTGCAGGGACTGAGGTGCTGGGAGCTGCTGCCCGGGGCTGTGCCACTGCCTCTAAGCCCCCAGCACAAGTCTCAGCCTGCAGTCTGAGACACACTGAGCTGGCTCCAGAAACTGAGTCTGGCCAAAGGCACCGCAAAAGTGCCGACTGATCAGAGTTTCTTGGCCCACCGTCCTGCCAGCACAGGAGTCCTGCTTCTTGCTTGTCCTCTGTTTCCTCTCTGGCTCCCATCTCACTGAGAGAATGTTTTAGCAGTCACTAAGAGCCATGCAGTGCTTTATTGGTGAGAAAGTGGAAAGTTGCAAGACATTTTAGTAACATAGCGAGGCATCAGGGACCTGCTTTCACTGGGGCACACCTGGCATGTTAAATTTCATGCAGATCTTAACAGCTTTTCCTCCAGAAACCACTAAAAGGAGTTGAGAAAGGGAAAAAAAAAAAATCCCAGATAAGATAATTCTGATTGCCCAGTCTTAGGGCAAGTTGTACTATATCTCTACCGCTAGCCTTGACCCAAGCTTTGAGTCAACCACCTAACTTTGGCATCAAATCATCTGACTCTGGAAATCCCACAACAGTCCCAGGGAAGCTTCTCACCACTAAGGTTTCACAAGTAACATCTCAGAAGCCCTGGTGACTAAGAACAAGCTTAGCAAAAAGCAATGTACCCTCCTGGATGTTGTTTTCCCCAGCTGGTTCAAAAACAGTCCTGTCTGGGAACAAGCAAATCTTGCTTTTGACTTTGAACCAACTTCTCCCCTCCAGCCACATGCAGCCCCTGGTCACTGATGTGTCCAGCACCTCTCTGCCAGGAATGGCATTCGCTCCCCCCATTCCCAGCATGGCATGAACGTGCCAAAGCATGGAGCCTGGTCCCTCAGGCCTGCAGCCGGTGATGGAGACCTCTCCCTGCCCTGTCACTGCTCTAGGTCACTCGTGGCAGACAGCTGTCCCTTTTGGACTGGCAGGGCTCTGCAGGGCAAAAAGGGGTGGGTTGGTGGTGGTGGATGGAGCAAGAACCAGGAGTTGGCAAGGTGGGCACCAGCTGACAAACTTGTCAGCCTCCAGTCCAGCCTGCTGCAGCACTGGGCTTGCCCTTTTAAAGGAAGCTTTTCCCCCAGGCTCTCTCCCCAGCAGCAGGGATTGTGGTTGCAGCAGCAGCAGCTGAGCAAAGGGCCCTGTGCCAGGATGGGACACTTTCCCTTCCAGGCATTTGGCCACCAGTAGCTCATAAGCCAGGCACCAGAGCCCACCTGCATCCCTGCATCGGTCCTCATGACCCTCAGCACAGAAAAACTTTTCATCTTGAGCTGTTATTCACTCTCCAGTTTTCTGCCCTCCTGCCAAAGCCCCCACCCCTGCAGCAAGCACTTCAGTGGAGAGGCCACAGGAAGGCTTCACCAGCTACAGCAAAATCTCCTAAAACACTCAGTTTGAAAATCCCTGGGCAAGCTTCTCATGCGTGCCTGGAAAATCAGGCACAGAAGTATTTGCAAAGCACAGCCATTAAGAGACCGCTGGATTTTTGTGGCCATTCTTTAAATATGTTGTTTTTGTCTCTATCAATTTTTTTTTGTTTGTTTTTCTTTTTGTTTTTTTCCCCTAAAGGGTGCAGAGCCCTGAGATGTACAGAGCCAGTTCCTTGGTCCCTCTGCTGGCATCAGCCCAACCACCAGGTCACCAGCTTTGGCCCTGCCCTTTCCTCACACTGGAACCCAGCTCTTTTCTCACTCCAGCACCACTCCCTGAAGCCAAGTGACTTTCACCAGTGTAGAGCCAGAAGAGCAGATGGAAAAACTTGGTTGTAATGGTAATGTCCTGGTAAGGGAAGTTGCATGATAATAAAAAACAGAATCAGGGGTGGCTTCTCAGTCGGGTGTCACAGGTTTTACCTGAGTCCCCCAGGGTATTACTTTTTGCTAGAAATACCATTAGCATTTACAATTAAGTTCACTGTGAGGCACTTCTGGTTTTAATTATATAGCTTTTATAATGCTTCTTCTGGCACAGCTTTTAGCATGTTAAAAATGAACCTAGGATGTATAAAGATAAAAAAGCTATTAATTCCAGGGCTAGAAATTTCAGATCAGTATAGCTACAAACAGATTACTCTCTGTAACCCAGCCCAAACAGCTGGCTTTCAGTGATCGGGTAGGAATGCACCAAATATGACAAAAATGTCTTTATCTGAGGAAGCTAATTTTAGACACTTTTATTTTGGCCAGGCAGTAGAAATACTTAGAGAAGAAGTCATTAAGTTTCCAATGAAAAAGCTGTTTCAGTAGGATACATTGCACGCAGTGTTTCTGCAGCAGTCTCCCTGTGTGCCTGTCACAGGGAGACTCTGGAGCGGCTGCTCAGCCCAGCCTCACCTACACCCAGCCCAAACACACGGGCTCCAGGGAAGTTGCATTTGCCAGTGGCTCCCACAGGGCTGTGAGAGGTGATTGCCAGCTCCTGTGGAGTCTCAGCTTCCACGCCAGCACACACCCCACATCCTCACTCACCCCAGAGAGACAAAGGTCGGGCACTGCATCTGGTGGGGGAGCAAAACAGGTTCCTGCCCCATGAAAGGGGGAAATCCAACATTTCAGAGCTTCCCACTGCCTCAAGATAGGGCTGAGGTTCTTCACAGTTTAAATTTAAAAAAAAGGACTGACAGCTCCAGCATCCTCCTGGCACATAGGTGACGTGTCTCAGTCTCTGCTCCTGCAGCTGTTCAGGGCTGAGAGGCTCTGAACCCACCTTGGTGAGGCAGTGACCCTCCTGAGATGAGAGGACCAAATGCCAGCTGTCAGACTGGCTCAAACAGAGCAGGCGAGCCATACAAGCACATGTACCACACATAGCTTTGTAAAGAGAGTGGTTATAACCCAGTAACAGAGAGAGGGGAAGCACATGGCACATAAACAAGTTGTTACTGGAGAGGTGCACTGAAAGATTTTTAATTGATCCAGAGCTCGGCTGTTTAAAAATTCATAGGTTTCAAGTTACTCTTGCCATGTTTAAAATGAGTTTAACTTAAGCTTTTGAGTTTAACAGCCTCAGCACTTGCAAACAGCTACCTACAAAACGTGGTCAGTTCACAACCTCTGGCAAACAGCTGATCCATTTTTGTGCAACACGTGTTCTCTTTCTGTGCCCAGTCATTGCAGGAGACAGCAAACCAGTGGTGGTTGTAGGGAAGGGGCACTCACAAGCCTGAAGGACACCGAGTGTCAACAGGATACAAGCAAGGATATACATATATTTTTAAACTCAGGAAACTGGGGCTTAGAAATGCTCACTCTTCGTAACAGCAATTGAAACACTAAAAAACTGCCAGGGGTTCTGCTCTCAGCAGAACTTCAAGGATCAGAGTCAGCTCCATCTGTCATGTTGTTTCCAGAGCAGACTGTGGCACAGCCCAGCTCTTTGCTGTCCCTTTTGGCACTCCCCCTGAAGCGCCTCCTCCTGCTCTGGCGCTGAAGGGATGACCTGGGATGGAAGCCACAGACAGCCAAGCTGCAGTGACGGAGGCATTGCTGCAGGACACCTCCACTGAAGCCTTTGCCTGCAAACTTGGCGTGACCTCAGATCCCTCACTTCACCTAGAGATGCCCTTACAGGCTGTCCTGCAGGGATGCTGGTCACGTGTGCGTGTAAAGCACATCCAAGCCCAAGAACGGTAGCACTGACGTTCGTTGTCAGCTCTTGAGGACTGGAGAGATGAAGGCCATGGGGGCCTGTGAATTAGGCTTTTTACACATGAAATAGAAAATGAAAATAGAAATAGAATATGAAAATCTCCTGGCTGGAGCAGTTGCTAATAACCAGGGTAAGGATGAGGTGCTCATGGCCCTCCTGGCCTGTCAGGGCCTCAGTGAGACCAGCGGTGGATGGCAGTGTTCCCCTTCCCGACTCACTCACAGCCCACAGTTCTCTGTGAGGAGCCAGAGAGGACGCCCTTCTGCCTCAGCTGACTGTATGAGGTGTAGCCCAATGAATGAACCTGCCAAGTTTTTATTACATTTTTTTTTTATTTATTACATCATTTTTCCCAGTGTTGAAGTTATTCCAAAGAACTTTCCTGCACTGAAATCCTTTGGATATTCTCTTGACGATGTAAAGTACACCAAGATTCCCATTCAGAGACTTCCAGTGAAAGCAGTGGGCTCTGTTCCTGGCATCACCTCTGGCTGAATGCCAGCACACAGCTCAAAGCATCATTTTAAACTCCTGAAAAGCTGCAAAAAGCATCAGCTAAAGTCACTTGGAAGCAGTCTCATGGCAGGAAGGACAAGAAACAGACCTTTGTAAGTCAATTGAGATGGTGGCAAATATGCCTTTCTGCCTGCTAGCTGAGACACAGGCTGCTGGTGGAGTAAATGTCCCTACACTGTGATAGGCTCTGTGCTGGGACCTGCACAGGAATGCTGCTGTGGGATGAAATTGTGGCTGGCCAGTCTACCACCAGCAGCCACAAATAATTTCCCACACTGGGGTGTCCTGCAGAGGTGGCACCCACTGGTATGCAATAAAGGCAAGTCTTTGCTGAAGCAGTAGAGTTTATGGAGAAACTTCAGCTCAAGATACAAACAGAAAAGGCTGCCAAACGTACCTGAGACAGAGCTTTCTGTAGCCCATGGATGTTTCAGGACACTCACACCTAGTGGGACATCCCAGCTGTGTGTGGTTGGTGGTGCTTCCCCAGGAGGCTCCCGGTTCTCAGCAGGGGCACTCGCCCTCACATCTCTGTGTGCTGTGTTTCTGGCAGGCAGTTGCTGCCCCTGAAATGGAAATGTTTTCCTGCTTGGAAAACAGAGGCTTATTGTGCCTCCAGGGGAAGGCAGACCCGGCATTTCATCCGTGCTGGTGCTGGCAGAAGGACAGGCAGCACCTCCACTACGGTGCGCATTTGGGGCCAGCTTTGGAGCTGCTGCTGGATGCTGCACTTTCTGCTCACGGATCCATAGCTTTTAGTTTATTTTTAACCTGTTTTGCAAACACAGCTAAACATCCTGCCCTTTGCCTCGAGGCAGTAACAAGGTTTCTCCACTAAGGATGTCCCACCAAAGGCCAGTCTGGAGCTGTGAACTGAGACATGAAGAAGAGGCAAAAATGCCTGGGATATTCTTGTTTTGCTTTCTCATGCAAACTCGACTGAGGAGAAATCTGTGTGTGCAATATATATGCAGGGTGAAAGCTAGAAGCATGGAAATAAGGAGAATATACCTGCAGGGCGCAGAACATCCTTCAGGTCTGTGGTTGGACACCAGGGACAGCTGGTTCTTTGTTTCAAGGAGACCAAGCACATCCTAGAGTCTTCAACAACCTACACAGCAAATGGACCAACTGGGAAAAAAAGGCATTTTACAGTGAGTTCTGCATTCTGTTGCCTGCTTGGCCCTGCCACTTGGACAGTATTTAGAGTTTTGAGTCTGGTTCCCATTTAGAGGCAAAACAAATGATGCAAGATTGATTTGATAGGCCTTTGTCATGACAAGGTTTGTTGCACTGTCCACAGGGAGCTCTTCCTTACAGCACCACAGCCCGGTTCCCACATGGATACACATGCACTTTCCCATGTCTTTCCCTTCAGAGGTCCATGAAACACAAGGGGGATTTTTTGCCTTCCACGTTGATGAGCAACTGGAGAAACAGAATTTTTCTCTTGGGACAGAGGTGAGTCCATGATTACAGGTGATTTTCTGTGCAGGGCACAGGGGCTTTGGTACCCTTTCCCAGTTAATTATGAAATTGGATAACCCACGCATGGTGAATCAAAAGGGGTTCTGTCAGTACCTTCAGGGGACCAGCTGCCTCACTGGCAGTTGTGAATGAAACCTCATATACAAGCTGTGCTACATGCACCTAAAACACATGTGTATCTCTATATAAAAATCATAATTTATATTACATATTTTATATAAAGTATGCAAGCCTACCTTACCATACATATTAATATGCCTCTGGAGCAGTAGATTTCCATATTTCACTTCCATATCTCCCCATCTGAGTGATGCCCAAGAGCAAAGAGACTATGGAGACAAAAGGAATACTGCTCAGTCAAACAATGCAGCATTATAAGGACTGATGTTAGGTCTTCATAGGTGTAAACTACAAATTTCCACTCTTGGTGTGGTGTTAATGCTTTTCAAGAACTGCCTGTTAATGATCAGGAAACTACTAAATTAACCACTCTGGAGAGTTAATTGACTGAACACTTTCAATCATTTATTAGGGAAGGAAATCCTTGCCTGTAAACAAAGCCAGTGTAGGGTTATTTCACATCAGGAGCAGTAACAACACATCAAGACGTGTACAAACCATGAGTTAGGGACACTGAAATTATCAACAGGGTTTAGACTTCAAAAATAATAAATTTGGATGTATAGTTATTTGTATTTAAGACTCGCTCTAATGCCATTTTATAGATCTCAGTAATCATAAAAGCTGAAACTTCCAGTACAAGTCCTGACAATCCTGACTTTCTCAGAGGCTTCTGGAGGAAATGAAATTCTATGGCACTGACAGTGCAACTGCAAAGGCTGCCAGCAAGGAAGGCGCCTTTCTAATCCAGACTGAAATGCTGAGCAGCAGTGCAATGATTTCCACCCAACATGAGGCAAGGAGCATCTCTTCAGTTAGCCCAAATCATGGGTCTTGTCTTTCTGCCATAAGCAGGGCAAAGGAACCACGTCTGGTGTCTCTTGGGCCATCTTAGGTCCCAGGTGTGGTGTAAATGGAGAAATTTGCTGTGGTCTGTGGTGGGACATAAGGACAGGGCTGCGTTTGCCTTGTGCAGGCGTGTCGTCCCCGTGCTTTGGGTGTTGTGGCATTTGTTTTTAGGAAATGCAGAAGTTAGGCGGCTGTCCTCGAGGATAGACCTTGAAGAGCATGAGGGCAGTCTAAATGCAAAGTCTGTACACAGCTGGGAAAGTTTCTTTCCAGTGCCATCCATAGGTGTTTGATTAATCAGATTAAATGGTTTTACTGGAGGTCTCAACAGGCTAATATAATGAAGAAAAGTGTCCCGTCACCAAAAGCTGCACACAGGCAGCCTTCTTCACTGAGAAGGATTTGCCCCATACATCATTCCTGGACATCAGGGAGCTCTATGAGGCACTCAGCACCCCAACACCTGGGTCTCTTCTCCCCAAAACTTTCAGGGGGGTGATGGAGCCTTTGCTTCTGGTTCCCAAGATTTAAACACATGATAATTGTGGCTCTTTATGTCTTACAGTCTTTCATTGTCCTGGAAGAAGGGAACAGCACACATGCTCCCTAGTGGGCCAGGCAAGCTGTAATGCCACCCAGTTAAGCCAGACTTGCTGAGAAATATTTGCAGACTGCAGTGTGAGCTGCTGAGGGAGCATCGCTCTCCAGCTCCTGGCAGATTCAGTATCCCACACTCTGCCCAGAGCTCATTTTCTTTTCCTCACACTGAGTTACGTATCTTTTCCCCAAGGGTTGTGCAAACTTCACAGTGACTCTTTTTCAGCCTTCCAGCCAGCCATGCACCTGTTTTTGATCAAAATTTTTCTACTGTAGCTCTTGTTGGCTCAGAAAAGTGCTTGGACAAGCTTGAAATTTCCTGCCTCAGGAAGAATAACATCTCTCTAAAAGAGTGCTGTGGGTTCTGCTGGAGAGGTATTAACCATGAGCTGCAGAGAAAGCTGGACTTTTTACAAGGATCAGAAACTGAAACAGGCAGGACTAAAGATGTCTCAGAGCTCCTGGCTCCAACAACATAACCCACAGCTTGGCCTACTGCCACTGTGACGTGGCACATTTATTAAGACACTTCTCAATCTCTGTTTCTTGTGCTCAAAAGGTTTCCTACCCCAGTTCAAGAACATACATCATATATGATGCTCCTGTAAGGAATAAAGTCAGACAGTCTCCAGCTGAACCTGGCTGGGCAGAAAGCTAAGCTGACACTGCAGCTGATTGTGACTCATCCGGTCCCCTTTCCCCAGGGACGCGAAGAAACCCTCCCTAGAATGGGAGAAATATTTATGCAAATTTCAATGCTGGAGAAGAAATCTATGAGGATGTCAGTGCCTACACAACAGCCCCCTTGAGTTTTGTCTCCATTCTCCTTGACCTGTGTCCTGATAGAACTTTCAGTAAGCTATTTATCAGGTAAAAAGATAAACCAGTCATCATCATATCAACATATGGTGACAGTGACTGAGAGCTACCCTATTAATTGCTGACCCCATTTCTATTTCGGTCACTTGGCATGCCCTCTAGGAAATGAATGGGATCAGTCATGATAAATCCATTTTCTCTGGCACCAGATAATCTGCTTTCAAGCTGGAGCAGATGCTGAGATGCCCATACTGGCAGCCTGCTGCTGGATGAACAAGGGGGCTGTATTGCAATGTGATTGCATCCCTGAAGACTTGTGTTGGCTTCCCTTTGTACAATAAAGGGTTCTGCTACATGGTATTGTGTCCTAAAATGCCCTGTTGATATATCAGAGAATGAGTCAGGTTGGAAGGGACCAGAGGGGGTCTTCTGGTCCAGCCTCCCTGCTCAAGCAGGGTCATGCTAGAGCACCTGGCAGAGGATTGCATCCAGGCAGTTCTTAGACATCTCCAGTGAGGGAGACTCCAGAAATTCTTTGAGAAATAAGGTCCCACAGATTATTTCCTGAATGAATGGCAGCCTTGAATTTGGGTGTTAAACCAATGCAGAAAGGCTGAGTGTCCATCAACCAGAGGAGACTGGAGAGAGGTAAACACCATTTGAATTACTCAGGGGTTTTGAGCCCAAATCTCCTGCTTAGTTCTAGTCACTGGGATATGAGACACCACAGTGTGGTGGTTGGGATCTTCTCAGCTCCCTGTGCTGGAGCTACTCTGCTTTGCAGTGAAACAGGGCAGTTCTTTGAGAGGTCAGGGATGGAGGGAGAATGCAAGCATTGCAAAGTGTGATTTGCTGGAGCTGCTAGTCGGACAAGGAGATTGCTTGCCATAAAACAGCCATCTAGAGGCACAGAAACTGCATCCCAGCAGTGAGTGCTGGGCTGAAGAGCTGGACTCAGATTTTCTCTCTGGCCCCAGCCAGTCTGCACAGACACAGCTGGAGCTGGGGGCTGGAAGAGCCAGGTGCGTGCCCTCTGTCAGTCTCCTGCAGGCAGGTGTGGGCTCCCACCCACCCCGAGAAGAGAACCCAGCTCAGCTCGGGCCCTGGCTGCCAGAGCCCCTTCCCAAAGCCTCACACTTGCCATCCCCCTCGCTCAGCCCTGCTACAGCCCCGCAAAGCTGTGGGCATCTGAGCAGAGGAAGCTGTGGGTCTGGAGCTGGAGTGTCCTCCCAGAGCAGCGAGGCTGCTTTCCCTCGGGACACTTTGTTTTCACTTTATTTGTGTCCCTGGGACCCAGCTGCTTAGCAACTGGATAAAATTGTCACAAAACGCTGGCATTGCCCCCCCCGACCCAGCAGGGCAGTGGCTGGGCTGTGTCCTTGTGGGGGCTGTCTGCCAGGCAAGGTGGCCACACAGCAGTCCTGAGGGGACCCCCCATGCCTGTCCTTGTTTTCCTGGGCCTCCTCTCCCAAGGCCTGAGGGAAATCGGCCCTCATGCATGGCAAACACTGCACTGCAGGTAAGGGGTGTAGGCAGCTCCATCTGTCCCTGGGGACAAATAAAACATGGACACTCTTTGGATCTGTGATAAATGCTTTTTCCTCTCTGGTGGGCCAGGAAAAAAAAAAAAGCACACTTCAAGTAGTCCAGTGAAGTACCTGAGAAGGAAAATATTCACCATTTCTGCTGTGTACTTGGGGGAGATGAATATACCATCTTACTTTGGTTCAGGGCTTTTTAACTAAAAAAAGAGGAAAAAATGGCAATTAAGAGTTATAGTGATATATTCCTTGGGCCAGAAGAAGAACGGGCTATCTTTGCTGCTATCTTTGCCCTGTTTGAGTCCTCTGCCTCTGTGGATAATACTCAAAGAGGCATCCAGGCTGCCCAGGAGGCCAAATCCTGCTCAGTGGAGCTCACTTCCTTTGAAGAGTCATGCAAAGGACAAAGGATGAAAATAAGAGATTTTAGGAGAGCAGTTTATAGCACACTTGCCCTTATAAGTGCCTGATGTGCAAAAGATAGTTGCTGGCAATTGCTGACATCTTGTGTGTTTACCTCAATCAGCAAGTATTTATAATTAATTTTTAAAACGCTGAAGTTCCAGCCTTGCTGGGAACATTGCAAACTGCCCTCAGCACTCTGATGTGCTTCCAAAACATATGCTGCCACGAGTCAAATAGCACAAAGGCTCACATATTTCAGGGGGGTGGTGGGGGCCTAGTGGAGAGA